TACTACTATTTTATAGTAAAGGAAGAAGAACATGCATACCCATAAAGTGTTATGTCAAATTAAATCCATAAGTGGAGCTGTGTTAAGGGTTTATTGTTCACAATGGCTTCCCTAGCCATTGAGTTTGACTTTGCTATGTGGATGGGCAAGAATAAGCTAATGGGATGTGTTAGCCCATCCACAAAGGGCTTGGCTAGTCATGCCACTAAATCGAGCAGATTCAGCAACAGATTTTGAGAATCTCACCACCAGTAAAGAGGAAGCAGAAGTGCATTGTGTCTCCTTTGGAGCCAGAGATTCTTTTTTTTTTAAAATTTTTTTTATTATTATTATTAAATTTCATTAGTTTCAATGAACATTCACAGGGATTCTGGAGAGCCAGAGATTCTTGAGCCAGCCAGACCTCCAGGAGCTCAGCAGCAGCTGAAGCAGAGACCCGACATGAGAGAGAGCTGACCTTGGGACTGCTACTACTGCATGGAATCAGAGCTAAGAGACTTTGCTTAAGTTTGTTGGAAGACTAGACAGACAGCCATAATTGGCAGGGCCGAAAACTTTGTTAACACCGGCCTAAAGCCACAAGACTGGAGGCTGAGGTGCCTATGAGCACATTTTAGAAGCTGTTTTGAGTGTTTGTATTTGCTACCAACCTGAATTACAGCCTTTTGACTTCCCTAATATGGTCCTGTGTGGTCTGTGAGCTATTGCAATGGCTTTTGAAGCCAGTAGAGCAGTAAGATTGGTGTTGGGATGAGTAGAAAGAGGTGAAGCAGCATGGTTGACATGTCTGACCTCATGAGAATTGGTTCTGTGTTGTAGATGTTGTTGACAGGGACAGTTCCCCCTTGTGGAGTTGGTGAAGATCAGATATGGCCGTTCCCATGTGGCACTTGCTCTTTTTACATAAGCCTAAATTGATGTCTGAGCTGTGGTGCTGGAGAACAGTGTTGAATATACTATGGACTGCTAGGAGAACAAACAGGTTTGTCCTGCAGAGGGTGAAGCCAGAATGCTCCTTGGAGTCAAGGATTCTGAAGCTTTGTCTGACATACCTTGGGCATGTTGCAAGGAGGGACTGGTCCTTGGAGAGGGACATCATGTTAGGAGAGTGGAAGGATGGTGCAGGAGAGGAAGACCCTCGAAAAGATGGATCAATTCTGTGATTGGAGTGGTGGGAATGATTGTGTTTGAGATGGCAAGGTTGTCACAGGATAGAACAGCATTTAGGGCTCTTGTATATAGGGTCGCCATGAGTCACAAGTGACTCAATGGCACATAACAACAGGCTTGACCCAGAGGCAGAGAGCAGGGCAGGGCTTAGGTAAGGTGGGAACTCAGCTTGAGTTTGAAATACAACAGGGTAGGGGCCCTAAAAGAAGAGAGGGCTGTAATCTGAACACATAGACCGCTTTCCCCCATCCCTTAGTGCTGTTGAGACTTCCTAACTTTAGGCCGTTCAGGACAAGGCGACTATAGTAAATGGCTTTCAAAACTGTTAGGCGCCCTTGTAATGATTCTTTTACATAAGCAGACCAAGAGTAAACATATGTCTAGTCGTTGGAATGTACTGTACTCAGACTTTATAGTTCACCCTTGTAGAGATTTTTCTCTACATGATTTCTAAGAACGGAAGTCTGATTTGCGGTTTGGATAACCCTGAAATCTAAGGGTGAGCAGACAGACCTGTGGATGCATCTTTTTAAACTATTCTCCTTGCAGACCTGGGTCACTGTGCTCTATTTATCGAGCTGAAGACCCTTTAATGTAATAACCCTACTCTCATATCCCTCACCAATCAGTGATACCCAAAGCCGACCCTCAGTGGCCCTCTTGAAAATTCATCTCATCAAATATTTATAGGGTCCCTCTTTTGTTAGATATGTGTGCTGGGAGACACAAGAGAACATAAGCTTTCATTCTTCCAAGAGAAATATATCTCGAATGAGAACTGTGCAAAATACAGTGTGCGCAGCCTGGTGATGGGAGCAGAGGAGAAAAGCGAAGCAGGGGAGGCAATTGGAAGGGGAGGCTGTTAACATTGTAAATAAGGTCCAAGAAAACTGTCCCCGAGCTGGTGGCATTAGAGCAAAGAGCTGACGGAGAGAAGCCATGGACCCCAGGGAAGTTTCTGGATGAAGGAACAGAAAGGACAGATGTGCTGAGGTGGGAACCTGCCTGCTGTGTGAAAAGAACCGTGAAGTCAGGAGTCTGGAGGGGAGTGGGTGAGGTGCATGGGGACGAGATCATGGGGCGGGGTTGGTGGGTGATCAAGTGCTCTCTGTGGGTCTGCAGCTGAATTAGGAAGATGGTGGGTAGGTGGACAGCACAGAACTCTGAAGGAGAGGACTGGAAGAGAGAAGGGTTAAAACCAGGACCTCCAAGGGGCCGTCACATGACATGAGGACCACACCTTAGTCATGATGCTGTGTGACTTTCCAAAGGAGTCCTGGTGGTGCAGTGGTTAAGAGCTTATCTGTAAACCAAAAAGGCCTCCTACAAACCCACCAGCTGCCCCATAGCAGAGACCTGATTCTCTGCTCTTCTGAAGATTGTTGAGTGTTGTCAAGTTGGAGCTGACTCTCCAGCAGGTTTTCAGAGGCGGTAAACGGGATGGGATGAGACTGCCCATCCTGCTCTGGTGAAGCCACCAGTGGATTTGAAACACTTGCCTTTGGGATCATAGCACATCTTACCACAAGGACACCAGAGCTCGCCCTGTAAAGAATGCAGCCTCAGGGATCCTGCACGACAATTCTCCTGTCCTCCAAGCATGTTACCTAGACAGCAATGAGTGGGCTGTGGTGTGTGACCCCTTCACTGCTTCATTTTCAAAGTGTGTTCGGAAGGAGCAGGGGTGACTGTTGGAAGAAACCCGATTCTTTGGGGGACGGTAAAGTGAGAGCAGTTGAAACCAAGACACTTATTGTGTCCCCCCCTCACCTAATATTAACCTACCTAGTTGGCCATGCTTCTCATGATGATGTAGTTTTCTCTATTTTATGATGTGACTTAATTACCCTGTGTCCTAAATCCAATTATTGAGGAAGAACTTGAGGCAGCAGAGCAGGGACCACCTACCACTAAGAGCCAAGCAATGGAGCCTGTCCTTTGGACCAGGGGTCCCTGTGCTGAGAAACTCCTAGAAGACTGATGGCAATGATCTACCAGACACAAAGCCTTCTGTAGCTGGTACCCTTCCAGACTCCATAAACTTATTAAAGCCTTCTGCATCTAATAGGAATAGACTATTTCTATTACAACAGCACCTAGATAATTAAGACAGCCCTGCTTGGAAAGGCAGAGGGTCATCAAAAGAGGAAGCAAGATGGACGGACACAGTGACTGCATCACTGGTCTCAAGTATATCTTTATTACTTGTAAACATCACACACAGGAAATATAAATGAGCGACCCTGTATCAAGGAGCTGGGTGTACAGGGCTGGGTCAGCGGTGAGCCTATGGGAGCAGTGAGCCCTGCTGAAGGCTGGCCCAGGAGGCAGCACCGCCCTGTGGGAAGCTCACATCCATGCTCTCGTTAAGCCTCGAGCCAACCAAGGGCAGTAATGTCCACCAGAGGTCACACCCCAGAGACCTACTGATTCAAGGTCTAGTGTGTCCACTTGCTCACTGGTGTCTGCGTGGGCAAAGAGCACAGGAGAGGCCCCGAGTCCCAGAACCACCCCGAGTCCAGCTCCAGCTCTATTCTGACAGGGATGGAGGCAGCCAAGCAGGGCAAGTCACCCCCCCCCCCCCGGCCCCAAACACAGGGAGGGCAGAGGGCAGCAGGAAGGGAGCCCAGGAGCCAGGCCAAAGGGCAGGTCCCAGAAAAGAGGGCTGAGTGGCATGTTCCCACGTCTGGGTGTGGCATTCAGATGAGCCCCAGCCACACCACCAGATGGTGGGTGTTGAAATGTCACCCTGGGCACAGAGCTCCAAAGCCGGCCTGTGGTTCAACGTCTGCTCCCAGCAGGGTCTCCCTGGGGCATGAAGACCTGCCCTGTCCAAGGGTTCCTGCTTCCTCCCCTGGCCGGGGACTCTGCCCCTGGGCTGTCATCACACACCCTGTGCATGCCTGTCCACAAAGTTCACCTAGGATGGAGACCACATCCTGCTCTCCTTCCAAAGCCCTGTGTTTAAGGCCTGACACGGTGCCCCTGAAGAGAGCACAGCCCAAGTTCCTGCAGCTCCCACCCGGAATCACAAAGGGGATGGCAGCTGGCAAAGAAGGCTGTGTGACGGTGCCCCAGGACAGACTCGTGGACACCACGTCACGACCTGTGCAGGCTGCCCTGCGTCCTGCCACCAGCCCTGTCAGGGGAGCAGGAGACTGTGTTAAGGGTGGCGGGGGCAGACTGAGGTCGAGCGGCTGCGGGTTCACTCACAAGCTGGGACAAGGAAGGGACATGTCTCTGAAGCCACACTGGACCGAGTGGACTGATGGTGGCCCTCACCAGAACACCAACTGGGTCTGCCCTGAAGGGACCACAATGACACAAATCAAGATGTTTTTCCTTCAGATGTTAAAGATGAACCCCTTCTTCTCTACTGGGGCCCTCCGGGGGAGGCGGGAGCCTGGGAAGCTGTGCACTGTGTGGCTGGGGGGATCCAGCTGAGGCTGCCACGGCAGGTGGGCAGTGCATGGTCAGGGTGCAGCTCACAGTTCACTGCCACCGCCTGCCTGGGGCTGCCTCAGACCAGCAGATGGACTTAGGGCTGCACCCCATGAAACTGCTGGGAAAAGAGAAGGGGCCTGCGCCCCTCTAAGCACCCCCCTCACCACGGAAGCCGGGCCCTGACCCACAGGCTGGAGTCAGGGGTAAACAAGGCCAAGTGCACATCTTCACACCCAGCAGAGTCCCGGGGAGGGGTGGACCCAGAGGCAGCCCCAGACCAGTGGGGTCCAGTGCCCTGCTTTCCAGCCAAGGGGTCACCAGATGGGTGGGGGAAGGTGAGTGACAGGAGGTGACAGTGGCTCGGGCAGGTGCTGGCAGGTGCGCGCTCAATCCCCGCTGTGCTGGGCCCTGCCCGTCAGCCGGCGGCGCTGGCTCTTGCTGGTGCGAGTGGCACTCGGCGGCTTCTTGGCCAAGTCCTGGGCCCTTCGGGGGCGTTTCCTCTTGACCTTCTTGCGGCTGTGTGCGTGCAGCGTGGCTGTGAGGGTGGAGATCCTGCGGGAGGAAGACAGCTGGTGAGGTTCAGATCCCCACAGAGTGGACGCTGCTTGGGGGTTCAGGGGGGATGAGCAAGAGCCAGGCTCAGGGAGGGGAAGTCACAACATGGCTCAGCTGCTATCGCACCAAATGCACCCCAAATCAGCTGCCTGGACGCTGCCCACCTCCCAGGCCTGCCAGCTCCTCCACACTGAAGAGCTGATCCCAGGTGTCAAGGCAGCTGGGGTGGGCGCCGGAGACGGGACAGTGAGGGGAGGTGAAGGACCACTCTGAAAGGTGCTCTGGGCCCACACTGCCCGCTGCCGTGGGCCACCGGGCAGGCTCCACAGGCCTGGTCACCAAAGCCGGCCATGAGGACTGGACCACAGGAGACAAAGGCAGGACTCACCGCTGGGACAGCAGGGGGTCCTTGGACTTCCGGGGTAGGGCTCTGGCCGGCTTCTCCACAGACGACACCTCCTCAGCCCCGGCCTCTGGCTAAAGCACAGGAGAGAAGGGGCCCGTCAGAGGGTGGACGGTCAGAGGCCTGCACAGGCATGACCTGTCACCACACAGGCCCAGGACAGGGCTCAGCAAAGGTCTCGGGAATAAAAGCACTGTGTGCACTCCCAAACAGAGGTGACACAGGGCAGGACTGTTTCAAATCCCCCACCACACCTCAGGAGAGAATAACGGGGACAACAGGGCTCTTCACATCAGACCCCAGAGGGGAGCGTGACACAGCACGAGACTCAGCAGGACGCAGAACACAGGGGCTTCGGGACGTTGAACGCTGTGACACTCGGAGGAGTGCCTATACTGCCGCGGGTACCGCCGGTGATTCTGACCCACAGGGACCTGACGGGACAGGCCAGCAGTGCCCGACAGGTCCCGCGTTTGTAACTTTACGGGACTATGTCTGCAGGTACTCCAGCAGAGCCGTGGGTAGGTTCAAACCAATGACTGCTGGGTTAGCAGACAAACACTTTACCACTGTGCCACCAGGGTGCCTTAACTGTGTACACACACCTACAAATAGATAATCCTACCCAAACCAAATGGGGAGCTCTGGTGGCCTAGTGGTAAAGAGCTACGCTGACAACCTAAAGGTGAGCTGTTCAAATCCACCAGCTGTCCAGTGGGAGAGGGACAGGCAATCTCCTCCTGTGCGACTGCTGCCTCTGAAAACCCACTGGACACACAAACCAAACCAAGACAACTCTAACTAAAACAAATGCTCCCTGAAACCATACCAACTTACGGGTACTTTCTGGGATTTCAAATTTGTTGTTATTGTAGGTGCCGTCAAGTACGACTCATAGTGACCCTATGAACAACAGCTCTGAACCCTGTTCTGTTCTGTGCCATCTGCACGCTGGCTGACACATTAGAGCCCACTGCAGCAGTCCGTGTTAATCTACCCGGATGAGGGTCTTCCTCTCTTTCGCCGACCCTCCCCCTTCCCAGCATCATGTCCCTCTCCAAGGACTAGCCCCTCCTAGCACCATGCCCAAAGTATGTGAGGCGAAGCCTCATCATTGCTGCCTCCAAAGAGCATTCCAGCTGCACTCTCCCCAGGACAGATCTGTTCATTCTCTTGGCCGTCCATGGGATGTTCAGTGCTCTTCCTTCTCCAACACCACAACTCAAAGGCATCGATTCTTCTTCTGTCATCCTTATTCATTATCCAGCTCTAAGACGCATAGCAAGTGACTGGGAAGACCAGGGCCTGAATCAGATGCACCTTAGGCCTTCAACTGACATCACTACTCCTCAATAATTTAGAGAAGTCCCTAACTGCAGATTTTCCCAGTGAAATGTGTCTCCTTATTTCCTGACTGCTTGTACCAAGGATATTAATTGTGGATCCAAGTAAGATGAAGTTGTTGACTTTCAATCTCTTTTCCATCCATCATTGACGTTGTCCAGTGATAAGAATCTTTATTTTCTTGACATTTATAGGCAACACATACTGAAGGCTGCATTCCTTGATCTTCTGCAACAACTGCTTCAAATACTCCTTACTTTCAGCAAGCAAGGTTGTGTCATCTACATAATGCAGGTTATTGTTGAGTCTTCTTCAAATCCTGATGCCATATTCCTCTTCATAAAGTCCAGCTTCTCGAATAATTTGCTCAGCATACAGACTGACTAGGTATGGACAGAATACAGCCCTGACACACTCCCTTCTTAATTTTAAACTACATTGTTCCCCTGCTGTTTGCACAACAGCCTCCTGGTCCAGGTATAGGTTTCACACGACAATAATTAAATGTTCTAGAAATCCCATTCTTCTCAATGTCAGCCACAGCTTGTTATGATCCACACAAATGCTTCTGCATAGTCAGAAAAGCACCAATAGACATTCTTGTGGCATTCTATACTTTCAGACAAGATCCATGTCACATCAGCAATGATGTCCCCGGTGACACGGCCTCTTCTAAATCCTATTTGAACTTGGTCCTGCTCATGAATCCCGGCCCACAAGCTGACTCTCCTGCTCCCGCGCACAAACCAGAGGAAGGAAGCTGCGAGCTCTTCCTACCTCACTGCCTGCAGAGAACATCCATCCCGGCTCCTAGCAGCAGCCCAGGAACCGAGGGTCCCCAGAAGAAAGGGACTCGGATACCCACATGGGCCCACGGCTGCTCAGTGCTGGAGTCAGCCCCGGAAGACCCCAGGATTACGTCCATGCCGTGAAGGGACCTCCCACTACGGACTGGCACTCAGCAGCTCCCGACAGGCTGGGCCTGGGACTTACCTCAGCCGCAGGCAGCCCTAGCAGCCGGGCCCCCGAGAGGTCCAGGTCGCTGATGGTGGTCACGGTAACCGTGTGGTTGGGATGGTCATACTGCACCGACTCTGTCTTTGCTGTTACAAGCCGGTCCAGCTCATCGGCCTCCTCTGTGTGGGGTGGGCACAGACCCAGGGAATCAGCCTCAAGCCACAAGCAACCAAGCTCTAGCCTCCACCCTACCCTGGAGTGTGAGGGTTACACCACTTTAGGGGAGGGCAGTGGTGAAGAAACAGGTCCCCAAGCCTAGGCTGAGGCTGCTCCCCACTTCCTGCTCCAGGGGACCCCAGTCCATCCGGCTCTCCCAAACAGAGGGTGTCTGTGCCACTGGAGCTGCTGTCCCTCAAGGCCTCAGCCCTGGGGCTCTCAGCTCAGTTCACCTGGACACTCAGCGTTCCCACTGCTCTAAGGATTCTCACCATCTCCCAGGCCCCAGGCCCCCAGGAGGAGGCTCTGAGCTGAGCAGTGTCTCCATGCAGCCCCTCAGCCTGCTGCAAGGTCCGCACTTACCCAGAGCTTCCTCTCTCTCGGCCAGCATCTTCAAGTACTCCTGGTGGCGCTGCAACCCAAAGGAAGAGAAGCACTGTGAGGAGCACCTCGGCCAGCCCTGGGCAGGGGTGCGGCGCACCCCACGGTGACAGCGACCAGCCATGGCTCAGAACACAAGGCCAGGACACCGTCACCCCACGGTGACAGCGACCAGCCAGGGCTCAGAACACAGGGCCAGGGCACCCCTCACCCCACAGTGACAGTGACCAGCCAGGGCTCAGAACACAGGACCAAAACACCCCACACCCCACGGTGACTGTGACCAGCCATGGCTCAGTACACAGGACCAGGACGGCACGTGCTAAGCCCCGGGTGCTCCCCACCACCCCTCGGCTGCTCTCCCCACTCCACCTCTTCCCGGAGCTTTTTCTGCTCCTGCTTCAGCCGCTGCTTGAGCTCCTCGATGGCCGCCTTCTTCCGCTCCACCTTCCGCTTGTGGAAGCCTGTCAGGTATTCCCTGTGGAAAGGTGGCGGGGATGGCTAGCAGGAGCTGCGAGGAAAGGGGCTCGCTCCAAAGGGAAGGTATCTAAAACCACGCGATGAGCCAGGCACCACTCCAAAGATCTGCAGGTTCTAACTCCCTTAGCCCTCCTGCCACACCGCGAGGTGGCTGCGGTCAGCTGCCACTGCATGGATTCCTACTCACAGTGACAGATGTAAGAGCAGACTGCCTCGTATGGTTTCTAAGACCCTGATCTTTACAGGAGAACATGCTTTTTTCTCAGAGTTGATATAGCTGGTTCAATCTATCAAACCATCACCTAGGAGCTGAGTACCTCTCCCCATTATACAGATGGAGGCCCTGAGGGACTGAGGCTCGATGACCTCTGGTCAAGGCCACAGAGAGCCTAAGGTTAGGAGGAACAGGGAGAAGCTGACTCTTCACACATCCTCCAGGACTCTCAGCTTCACTAACTGGTCCAGGTGGAGGGTAGTGGGAACACACAAACTAGACAGGGAGCCCTGTCCCCAGCTCCACACATGGCGGGTCACCAAAGGTCTTCAAGACCACACGCACTCAGGCCTCTGTAAACTCTCCATTGGGCCAACACCCCAAATGCCCAGGTCACCAGCAACACTGACCCCCTGTAGTCCACTGATGCAGCCCTGGGAGTTTCCTTGTGACATGCCACTATTTTTTCTCCCCACACCTACTATCCAAGGAGCTCTGGCAGTGCAGTTGATTGGACTGATTAAGTGTTAGATTGCCGTCAAGACAGCATGGTACTGGTACAATGACAGACACATAGATCAATGGAATCGAATTGAGAATCCAGAGATCAACCCATCTATCTATGGTCAACTGATCTTTGACAAGGAGATGAAATCAGTGAAGTGGGGGAACGACAGCCTTTTTAACAAATGGTGTTGGCAAAATTGGAAAAATATCTGCAAAAGACTCAAGCAAGACCCACACCTCACTCCATACACAAAAACCAACTCAAGGTGGATCATGGACCTAGGACTAAAACCAAGGACTATGAAATTCATTACAGAAAAGCTAGGAACAACACTAGAAGTCCTAATCCACAACATAAACAGTCTTCCCAGTATGCTGGAAAAGCTACAACCAGGAGAAGATAACATAGATGAATGGGACCTTCTAAGACTCAAATCCCTATGCACATCCAAAAACTTCTCCAGTAGGGTAAAAAGGGAAGCCACTGACTGGGAAAAAGTATTCGGTAATAACATATCAGATAAGGGACTTATATCCAGAATTTATGAAATACTTGAGCACCACAACAAGATAAAGGTAAATAATCCAATAGAAAAATGGGCACAGGATATGAACAGGCACTTCACCGAAGACGACGTTCAGATGGCTAACAAACACATGAAGAAATGCTCAAAATCCCTAGCCCTAAGAGAGATGCAAATTAAAACAACTATGAGATATCATTTCACCCCAGTCAAAATAGCAAAATTTAACAGAACAGCAAGCAACAAATGCTGGCGAGGTTGTGGAGAAACTGGAACCCTTCTTCACTGTTGGTGGGAGTGTAAAATGGTGCAACCCCTGTGGAAAGCAGTATGGCGCTTTCTCAAAAAGTTGCAAATAGAGATACCATTTGACCCAGCAATTCCACTACTGGGAATATACCCTGAAGAGACCATAGCTGACATTCAAGCAGATATATGCACACCCATGTTCATTGCAGCTTTGTTCACAATAGCAAGGAGTTGGAAACAACCTAAGTGCCCATCAACAAACGAATGGCTAGAGAAGCTGTGGTATATTCGCACAATGGAATACTATGCTGCATTAAAAAACAAGGAACTCATGCAATATTATTCAAAATGGTTGACTCTGGAGAACATTATGCTGAGTAAAATATCCCAGTCACAAAAGGACAAATATTACATGATGCCACTGTTGTAGAATGGGACTGTCCTTGGGGTTAGGGAGACACTGAGTAAGATGGGTTCAATAATGTATACTGCACTGAAACAGAGGAGGGAGAGAACCGTCTAAAAGAGAGATGTAACTGGGTATTTCTGTCATCACAGGAGACTAGAGCGAGGGCTGCATGGTGGAGGGGACCTGGGGGAGGGTTTGTAAAACAATGAAAGAATCTTTTCTTTTACTTTTCCATAATTTTTGGACTCATGTACTTATAACTTGTTAGTCAAATTTGTGTCTTCTAGGTTGCAACACCCCCATGATACATCTTGAAGGATATGTACATGTACAGCCAAGCACAATCAATAAGAGTGCATCTGAATTCCAAAATCAATCTCCATAATAGTCTATGTGTTTCCTACTGCCAAAGGGGCCCTTTAGAGTAGTGAGAGAAGATCTTCACCCTGAAACCCACAGCGTCCCTTTTCAGCAGGAAGTAGCTAAGAGAATACGCCGTCCCCTTTTCCTTATGACTCAGGGTGAAGTCTCTCTCAGGAAGGAGTGATAGGGAATGGCAAAGGATACACTGACAAAGAAGATTAATCAGAACTGGCTTTGACAAGCACTGTGGCATTTGGACAAGAACAAACTGGGAGGAGGGTAGAGAGAATAGTGCAACAATGAATGAGTGGAAGCCCAAAATCTCTGTAAATGTTTATGAAAATTAATAAAATATAATTATAGAAAAAAAAAAGTGTTAGATTGCCAATTGAAAGACTGGCAGTTCAGGGAGCTCTGGTGGCAAGAAGCTGCACTGCAATCCCAAAGGTGCCTGGTTCAAATCCACCAGATACTGTGCTGAAGGAGGGCCAATCACCTCCTCTGCCAGTAGAATCTGATTAGATGGTACAAAACAAAACAAAAAAAAAAAGGAAGACTGACAGTTCAAATTCACCAGCTGCCACATGGGAGAAAAATGAAGATGTTTACACAAGGATTACAGCCGGGATTTGAACACTTCAGCCGTCCTGTGGGTGAAAGATGTGGCAACCTACTTTTGTAAACATGACAGCTTTTATGAAATCCTACGGAGCCGTTCTACTCCTGTACAGTGCCCCTAAATATTTATTTTTTAAAAAATTTATTTTAATGAAAGTTGAGCCCCTAAATCTTAATTGCCACTCCCTCAATATTTTTTGTTTTGTTTTTCCCGGGTGGTGTAAAAGTCAAAATGCTCAGATGCTGAGAGGTTGGCAGGTTCAAGTCTACCCAGAGGTCCTTCAGAAGAAAGGCCTGGCGATCGACTTCCAAGAAAAAAAAAATTGGCCACTGAAATTCCCACGGTGCCTGGTTCTGACACACAGGGGTGCTGAACTATTGGTTATGTGGCCCCCTTGCTCTCCCGGGGGGGGGGGGGGCCGCGACGATGACAGTTCCCATCTGTTCCTGCGCACAGCACGGAGCTCATGCACGATCACGTGTCCCACTAAACAGCCCGGATGCCCGGCCAGGCGCATTGGTGAAACAATCATCTGGTAAATGGACTTAAGCCTCTCTTGTTCCTGTCACTCATTCATCCATCAACGTGCCAGGCTTGGGCAGGCAGGACACGCCAAGCGTGCAGCGAGGGCAGGGGACCGGAAGAGCGCGCTTCCACTCGGCGATCGGATGGGAATCGCCCGGGAGGCGGGGCCGGAAGGGCCCTCCGCGTGCGGAGCGGGCACAGGGCCTCGCCTTGCTGGGCCGCCAGGGAGAAATTCGATCTGGCCTTTCCACTCACCGCCTCTTATCCTCGTCAAAGCTGAGAACAAGCCGGGGCCGCCGATCGTCGCCATTTCGCTTCTTCTTCTTGTTGCGCCCCATACCGGCGAGGCTTCCTGCCGCCCTGCTCCCGCTGGGGAAACTGCTTCCGGGTGCGCCTTCGGTCTCCCGCGCGCGCCTCGTTGCGTAGTTCCGCAGTTCCGCTGCCAGGCCCCGCCCTTTAAAGGGGCCGCTCGGCCTTTTGTAGCGTGCTCTTTCCTCCTACATGCCTTGGTGACCCTCTATAGCTCTTTACCCCGCCAGACTGGTTTCTGTGAGAACCACACAAAATTAGAAGATGCTTGACTCCAAGTAGGAGCTAAGTCCGGAGTTGTCAGTGAATGGCCAAAGGAAACTGATTCTCTCTTTGGTTCTGAAATCTACTTGCTCTGTCTCCAACTGCATGTCTCTGGAGGCAGACTGCCTGGATTCGAATCCTGATACTCCACGAACCTCTGTGGGATCCTGAATCATTTACCTTCCCTGTGCCTCAATTGTTCCATTTGCAAAAATGGGATAATTATAGTGAATTTGTAGCAAATCTTTGAACCTGTTCATTTCATTTCAACCCTTTTCTGATGATTTTATTTTCAACCTCAGTTTCATGAGGTAGCATCATGATGGATAGAGAAGAGATTGAAACTGCCAACAACTTCATCTTACTTAGATCCACAATTAACACCACTGGGAAAGTCTGCAGTTAGGGACCTCTCCAAATTATTGAGGAGTAGTGATGTCAGTTTGAGGACTTAGGTGCATCTGATTCATGGTCTTTCTGATCACTTGCTATGATCACTTGCTGAGAGCTGCAATGAATAAGGAAGTCAGAAAAAGTATTGATGCCTTTGAGTTGTATTGTTGGAGAAGAGCACTGAATATTCCCTGGACGGCCAAAGGAACAAACAAATATGTCTTGGAAAAGATGCAGCCAGAGTCCTCTTTTGAGGCAAGAATGATGAAGCTTCCTTCACCTCACATATTTTAGGCATGTGGCCAAGAAAGGCAGTTTCTTAGAGAAGGGCATGATGCTAGGAAGGGTGGAAGGGTGGCGAAGGAGAGGAAGACCCTTGACCAGGTGAACTGAGTTGGTGACTGCTGTAATGGGCTCTAGTATGTCAGAAAGTGTGAAGATGCCAGAGGAAGGTGGGGTTCAGATCTTTTGTTCATGGGGTCGCTATGAGTCGTACTTGACTGGGTGGGACCTAACAACAACAACAACAGTTTAATAACATTTTCCAAGTGATTCTGATGCATACACAACAAAGTATACACAAAGGGTCTTGTTAAAATACAGATTTTTATTCTATAGCTCAAGATCTAGAACAAATATAGAACATATGTGAGGAGAAAACAGGAACTTCTCACTTCTTCCCCACTTCTTCCCAGCTGCCTTGGGTTTAAGGCCTCCTCCTGGTTCAAACCCTAGGCCCAGGCTGGCTAGCTTCACTCCAGGGACAGAGCAAACCTGCACGTCAAACACATTCCCGGAAAAGCAGTCGACTCCAAAAGCTTGCCACAATTCCTGCGTTCCCACCACCACGCTCCTGCCTTAAGAACCAGGAGGCGGCCTTAAGCCCAAAAGGCCCGAGGGCCAGGTTCAAATTGTCTTCCTGTCAAACATTCTTCTAGGTGGTATAGCACTGGTCTGTGCGTTGCTGTACAGAGGTAACTCGTGGTTGCTGTGATGCTGAAGCCTGTGACAGTGATGTGCCAATCGTGGTAATGGGCACCCATGGTGGACAGTGTTGGCTGGAGCTTCCCGACTAAATCAAGCCTGGAATCAGGAGCGGCATCCACTTCCAAAATGGCTTGCCTCCGGAAACTCTATGTACGAACAGTGTTCAGGCTGTTCGTCCATAGGGTCGCTATGAGTCGTCTACGACTCGACAGCATTAAACAACAACAACAACAACAATGTGAGGAGACACTATCAGCAGGTGTCCAACTGAGATGAACTATCCCAAGCCCTGCTCTCTAAGACTGTTGTAAGGCAATGGTTCTCAAACCTTGGAGATCATCAGAATCCCCTAGAATGTTCTTGGATTGTTGGGCCCCATCCCCAGAGTTTGGGTTCAGCCGGTCTAGGGTAGGTGTGATTATTTGCATTTCTAACAAATCCTCAGGTGATGCTGGAGGTGTTTGTCTGAGAACCAAACTTTGAAACCCAGGCTGGTGAGAAATCAGTGAGTTGTGTGAAGTGTATAATATATATATACGCTATACAACATTCATGGACAGCTAGGAAAACAAACAGATTTATCGTGGAAAGGGTTAAACTGGGTGGCTCCTTGGAGGCAAGGATTCTGAGGCTCCGTCTAACATATTTGGACATGTTGTGAGGAGAGACCGGTCCTTGGAGAAGGACATCATGCTTGGGAGGGTGGAGGGACAGCGCAGGAGAGGAAGGCCCTCTATGAGGTGGATTGATTCAGTGACTGGGATAATTGGGATGGGAGTGTCAGAGACAGTGCGATTGGCACAAGACAGAGCGGAGTTTAGGGCTGTTGTACATAGGGTCGCTATGAGTCGCAAATGACTTGACGGCACATAACAACAATACAACATTCATCACACAAGCCACATCTCCCCTCCATGCCTTAGTTTCCATAAGTATGGAATGTTGTTGTGTGCCACTGAGTTGGAACCAACCCATAGCTGACTCTCTGGCAGGTTTTCAGAGACAGTTAATTTCATGGTGGATTCCAACCGTGTGCCTTTGGGATTACAATGCGGCTTCTTACCACTACACCAGCAGAGCTCCCTCTACATGGGAAGGGGATGTAATATATGTCCGCTTCACAGAGCTCTGGTGGCCTTTCACCTCAGCCTACACCCTGCACCCCAGTCCAGGTCACTGCAGGGAGCTGCCTCAGTCTTCCTGGACAACTGCCCCTCTGTTTGACCTCCTTTGCTCCCTAGTGGCTGAGCCAGGTAATGCCTTTTTATTTTAGAATAATAATATTACTAAAACAAATAATGCCTAATTATATATTCCTTTTAAACAGTTCTTTCCATCATCTGTTCCAATGCAATATTCCCTCTTTTGCTAGTTTTCCCCAAGTCCCCATGTCAGACCCATTTTATAACAGTGGCGCTATGCAGTATTTGTCCTTTTGTGACAGATATTTCATTCAACATAATATCTTCCAGAGTCATTCATGTTGTGTAATGTTTTACAAGGTCCTTGTTTTTCAGTGCTGCATAGTATTCCATTGTGTGAGTATACCACAGTTTCTTGATCCATTCATTTGTTGATGAGTGCTTGCATTCCTTCCTCTCTTTGCTATTGTGAATAACGCAATAATAAACATGAGTGAGCATTTATCTGCTTGAGTGGAAACTCTGGTTTCTTTAGAGTATTTCCATTAGTGGAATTGCTGGATCAAATGGTATTTCTATTTCCTACTCTTTGAGAAAGCACCAGACCACCTTCCATAGTGGTTGCACCGTTTTACACTCCCAGCAGCAGTGCATAAAGGTTCCAGTCTCTCCACAACCTTGCCTACATTTGTTGTTTCCTGTTCTGTTGAACTTTGCTATTGTTGCTGGAGCATACTTGCTTCTAAACACCCTGGCTTCACTTCCTCCAAAACAAATTTGTTAGTTCTTTTGGCAGTCCATGGGATATCCGGTACGCTCGGCCAACACACCACAATTCAAGGGCATTGGTTTTTCTGTCGTCCTCATTCATTTCCCAACTTTCAGATACATAGGAAACAATTGAAAACAACTTGTCTTAATCAGGCACACCTTTCTCTTTAAATTATGTTCTTGCTCTTTGACATTGTCCTCGGACAAGTCCTTGGTAGCAGATCATCCCATCGTTACACGTCTTTTGATTTCTTGACCACTGCTGCCATATGTGCTGGCTGTGGATTCAGGGATAATTAAATTATTGACAACGGCAGTCTTTTCTCCATCCACCATGATGCGGTTGCCTATTGATCCAGTGGTGGGGACTTATGTGTTCTTAATCCATATTGAAGGCCATAGTCTTTGATCCTAGTGGCAAGAAGCTGTGCTGCAATCCCGAAGCCAGGCGGTTCAAATCCACCTGCAGCTCCTCAGGAGAAGGATGGGCAATCTCCTCCTGTGCAATTAATGGTCTCCGTAAACCCACCAGAGGGTCAGCTATGGGTCGGTTCCAACTCGACGCACACAACAATAGTGAGCACTTCAGGTCTTCACTTTCTACAAGATTGTGTAGCGTGTGTCTTAAATATTTTTTTTAGGGTGGTCTAGTGGTGAGAAGCTGTTCTGTAATCCCAAAGGCATGAGGTTCGACTCCACCAGTTGCTCTGTGGAAGAAGGATGGGCAATTTACTGCCTCTGAAAACCCGCTGGAGAGTCAGCTATGCGTCAGTCCCAACTCGATGGTACACAACAACAAAAGGTAGAGGAAGAAGCATGGAAAGAACAGAAATGAGGGTGACACATGCCACATAAAGTTTCCAAGGAATCAGGAATCAAGCTTGATGAGAACGCCTTTCTCCAGATCCAACAGAGGTGGCCTCCCTAAAGCCAGTGCCCTGGATTTGGACAGTCAGCTTCCACACCTTGGAAAAAATAGATTTCTGTTTGTTGACGCCGTTCACGTGTGGGGTTTCTGTGCTAGCAGAACAGAGAACTAAGGTGAATATAAAGAGCAACAGTAAAAACCCCAAACTCAGTGCTTCCCAGTCGGAACCAGTCAGAGCGTACCCTCCAGTGCGTGTCTGAGGGGGTGAATCACACGAGAGGAGATTACCCATCTTCCTCCTGAAGATGGTGGCCTTGAACCAGCAGAGAGGACCCGCCCTCGGCTTCGCAGCATCACCAAAGCACAGCTGCTCAGAGAGGGACGATGCTGGCGCGTGCTGGCCAGTCAGAACCAGCTCGTAGCTGACCTTCCTGCAGGTTTTCAGAGACTCAATCTCTCGTGAAAAGACCACGCATGTTTCTCTTGCAGAGCAGCTGGTGGATTTGAACTGTCTGACTTTGGGTTGGCAGTGCAACGTCTTACCCTCTAGGGTAAGAAAAGCTCCCACAGAGTAACAGTTTTTGTTGTGTACTGTTGTGTTGGA